GGGGGTATGTTGTATATGCATTCTGACATGACAATGAGAATGTTTGGGACAATGCAGAAATGCACACACACTCTTGTACACACACACACACACAAGCATGAGGTGGTGCACTGCACTCGCTATTGTCTTCTGACTGAACGCTGGGAACAATGACACCGATGTGTTGACTTTTAGTTGAGCTTCACGTAAACACCAGAGTCTAGACTCCAGTCAGCCGTTGTCTTTGATTTCTGCTTGCTGCTAATTTTTTGCCTGGGCAGAAAAAAACGGTTTGGAGCAATGTGCATTTTTGTTCTTGTTTGAGTTTTGGGGGTTTTCGATTGAGGGAGGCGGGGTTTCACTTTAGTACCAGAGACTTGTGCAGAGAGGGCTTGGTCTGAATACTAGCCACGTGTCATCGAGGCTCAAGAGTCTGCAGGTTTGTTTGCTGCTGTTGTGGTTGGAATGAAAAGAAACTGCAGATTCATGTGCCTCCGTGGCACACGTGTGTGTGTGTGAACCGCTGTGCTTAAGCAGCCTGTAATATTTAATCCATGTACATATTTTAAAGCCACTTTATGTCCTGAAAGTCTGATTTCTTCTTTTTTAATCCTGCACAGAGTGGCTTTAAGGATTCAAGGAATTAAAACGAGTGTTCGGCCTGTTACAAGCTCCTCACAAAGAATGCACGCAACAATGCAAAGGGATATGCATGACGTGCTGATTGGACAATTAAATGTCTAAAGTCCCAAAATTTGCTAGAACTTTGCAGCGATATCGAGCTACTTAAACTGCAAACGACCAGAGAAGAAACTGTAAACAACACAACGCCATCTCGCCTACTCAACCTTGATCTGCAGCAGCTTGCGTCTCTTTTGCGTATCATAAAACCACAAGTTTTCCACCTTTTCATGGTAAATATATGGAAATTCTTTATTAGGATTAACCCCTTGAGATGTACCATCTCGTTTCCAAAGGGGTCCTCAACGACAATTATACAAAACAAAAATAACAAGATAATTAAACACCACATGAGAAAAAATACATAAATAAAGTGCGATAATAAGACGCACATAATGAAGAATACTCCCGTCCCAGACCACATTGATTACCTCCCGTGTTAGCGTTGGTTGCGTGAGCACAGAGCCGGTGTATCCCGCATGCTTGTTGTCAGCACCCCTTGAGTGGAGAGTGTAACGGGCCTTATGTGGTAACAGTTTGTATTCACTGCTACCGAATGGAATACTTCAATGACGTGGCCAAACCTGCTCTGTTTGTGGTTTCTGGTGTTTGGGGAAAGAAGGAAAGGGGCAGGGTGTGTGTGTGTGTGTGTGTGTGTGTGTGTGTGTGTGTGTGTGTGTGGTTCGGGGCAGGGACTCCACATGAAAAGGTCTTGTGTCCACCAGGTACCTCTTAGTAACTCGCCGTGTCGACAGATGCTCGTGGGAAGAATCGTTGAGATCTTTTTTAAGGTGCCGTGGCCTTCGGGGGTCAGTTCAAATCATCTAAACAACATATTTTACAACTTACCCCTGGTGATATCCAGCAGTGCACGTCGCTTCGGTGGCATACGATGAGGTGTTGAGTATTTATATTTACTGATGGCTTATGTGGCTCGGGCAAATAGTTTGCATGGTTCAACTGAGCTCAGATGCTTTGCTGATTTTATTATGTTGTATTTCCACAGAGTGAAATAAATAAGTAACCATGCATCATTGCAGTCACAATCAAACGACAGTAAAACGAGTTCATAGGCGCGTCAGGGCCTGTGAGGAGAGATGCAATTAATAATGCAGTTACATTGAGTTACATTTCGAGGTAAACGGATTTTCTCACGGATTTGGAGCACGTGGTTAGCGTTGCAATTTAAAACGACAACAAAAAATCCTACAAAACTTCTTCATTAGGTTTAAGCAACAGAACTACTTGGTTAGGTTTAGGCAACAGAAGCAACGCATCCTCCACCCTGACTCATTTGAAACGTGTTTGTGATACAAAAGCAAACATGATCCGAGATTTTTTTTAAATACGCTCCCATTCAAAAAGTAGTCGACGATGCAGTTTCTTTGCATTGGAACGTAGTGTTCTGCTGGGTGCCACGAGAGGTTTAAGCGAAGAAACATTTCGACGATGGCGGTGAACTGAGGCCTGTAGCCGTTAGCCCAGTTTGGGTATCACACGAACATCTGGAGGCGCAGCTGTGGGCGGAAGGTTTCCCGGTGGACACGCAGCCTCGGTAACAGACTGCATTGACTCGTCGTTGTGACTCACTCCGATCTCTGCAGCGGTGCTTTTCTTTGCCTGCTAGAAGCCCCGCTGCCAGTTCTATCCGAGCAGCGAAAGAGGGCAGAGAACAACAACAACAACAACAAAATCCCAAATCCCCTTTTCACCTCGCATAGAACGGTTTATCTCAACAACTAACTAACTAAACTAAATAACACCTCCTCCAAATCTCCCCTCCTTCCCCAACCTTTCTTTCTCCCTCTCTCCCTTCCTCTCCTCTCCCCTACTTTATGGTAAACCAGACTAGAAGCCACGTAACACACTCCCCCGTTCTCTCTCTTTCCCTTGCTTTCTCTCTTTCTCTCGCCACAGCAACCACATGTCCACAGCGATCAAAACAATAACCTCTGTGTATTTGTTTCCCCTCCCTCTTCCTTTCCTTTGTCGGTTTCTTTTCTTTTTGTTTTCCTCCTCCTGTCTCCTCCAAACACTCCTCTGTGCGTCTGCGTCCTCCCTCCCTCTCCCTACCCCTCGTCATTTTTATTTTTTTTTCCGTTTTCTCGTCGTCCGTCTTTGTTTGTCCTGTCTGTCGTGTGTGTGTGTGTGTGTGTGTGTGTGTGTTTTGTGTCGGCGTGCGTCTGTTGGAACGCATGTGTGTGTTGGTGGCCACCCCAGCGGCCGGATCAGTTACACAGACATGTATCAGATGCTAAGACACATGTGTCCGCCGCTAGGCCTCGGGAAGAGGTGTCCCGCCCGGGTCGCCTATAAGGTAGACTCGCCCCCCACCTCACCCCTCCGCCCCCCTACAACCACCACCCCACCTCCCTCTCTCCCTCCCTTCTCCCTTCACCCCCCCCATCCCTCCTCCCTTTCCCCTCCCATCTCCGTCCTTATACCTCCCCATCGCCGATGAGGAGAACCTCTCCTCTCTCATCTGCTGAAACCGCCCCCCCCCCACCCGTTCCTTCTCCTCCTTTCCCCCCTCTCTCCTCCACCTCCCTCCCTCCTCCCAGCGGTGTTCTCCTCATTGTCTGTTAGTGGTGGTTGTGGTGGTGGTGAGCGCTGTCCTCTCCTCTCTCTCTCTCTCCGACCGCGGGGATGGAGTGATGGGCTTTTGTCGTGAAGTGAAGTGAAGTGATAATGGAGTGGTAGTCGATCCTCTTTTCTTTTATCCCCCCCGTCAGACCGCAGGAGTAAGGGAACGGAGGAGGCTTTGCCAGTCCTTCTGCAACCTGCACGGACGCACGCACGCAAGAAAATCCAGTCGTAAAAACACACCGATAGAGCACAGATCTGACAAAGAATTCCCGTAACAAATTAAGACGCTTAAAAAAAGTAAGCAAACTACCTCTGATCATTTTCTAATTGATGCCTGCATGTTTTACCTAGCTGCATTTTGCAGGATACGTAAATCAAATATCAAATACGCTTGTTCAATACTCCTGCTTTCGACACCATTGTAGATCATATTTTCTGACCACAAAATCCCAATTTATGTGATATCGCTTTGATTCATTTAAAGATGACATCCTGTAAATGACGCCAAGGACCCCAGGACACAAATTGTTTGAAGTCATTACTGATATTCTTTGTGAGCATACGTATACGGCATTATGTACACATTGTATTGTTTCACAATAAGAAACGTAAATCATGTGAAAATCTTCAGTGTTGAGGCCCTCAAACAAACAACATCTAAAGTGCAACTATTTGCCGACGATGCGGGTACAGAAGGACCGGCAAGGGTGTCTGTCTTCAGTTCTCTGCATCTCTTATTCCTGTGGATGGCACTATAGTGCACACATAAACCACACTACTGTACCGCTCACTGTGCACATATACAAATAATAATAATAAAGTGGGTAGGAAAAGTTCTGGCCCTTCTAGTTTTTCGCCTTTTTTTCAAGATGCCTTTTTTTTTTTTGACACCCAAGGAAAACGTCAGCGTCGTTTGGCTTCTCTTTGTGTCTCAGACCAGCAGGGTAAAGATTCGGGTCGGGCATTTCAGCATCCGCTGCCTCGTTGTCTTTGTTGTCCAACTTTTCTCTCGACCATAGAGCCCTACTCTCTCCTCTCCTTTATTCTCTCTCTCTTATTGACATCCAGATTAGCCTAACAGATAATGTGGAGCTCCTTTCATTTCTCCGATCATGCTTGTCAACGATACTCTGAAAAGTAGCAACGCAAAAGCCAAATATCTTCCATCCGTCACCAATTAACAGTGTGAAATGTGAGCATCAACTGTAAAGCTAATCTACCTGAGCTAACGTCTTTGCACCATAAAGCTTTTATTATTGGAACTTCTTTTATTTATTTTTTTTAATTCCTATATTGATTAAAAAATGATACTTAATCTGACTTCCTTTAGATGAAATACGCATAGTGTACATACAATTAAAATGGCTGTGTTATTGGATTTAAATCTGACCAGACATTCAACGTTTTCAGTACTCGACAGTTTTTTCGATATTATGGACAAATTTTGGTCAAATAGTATTGCGCTTCGATCGCCAGTCCGTCTTAAACTGAAACTCCCTCTTTACTGTCCTGACTTGCTTGTGAAGTTACATATAAAGTAATATTAACTACACTGAACTATTCTGTAGAGCAGGATGACTTTGATCAAATAATGCAAACGTTCCGCTGTGCTAAACTCCTACTGAATCTGGGTGTCAGTCCGTCTTTTCCTGCTGCTCTGCTCTCCGCTTCATTTTTTACTCATTTTTGTTGTTTACTCGTTTTGTTCTACCTCTCAGTTTCCTCTCTTTCTGTCAAGTCTTCTGTCCCTCTGCCTCCACGTCCACTTGTCCGTCAGCGATCAGCAATCCACCTTCATTTCCTCATCCCTCTCTCCGCCCCAAGCCGGCTCTGTCTCTACGTTTCCTTTCCGTTTCTTCTTCTGTTTCTCTCCAGAATGTCAACCTGTATCAGCAGTGGTCCCCATCACATACTTCAGCCATCAAAGCCTTCCAGTATTCATTGACACAACTTCACACAAAACAAAGTCCATTAAAGGACATTTTTGAGATCAGAAACTCCTCGTGGTTTCTTGTTAGAACAGAGAGGGGAAGGTTAGACATCAGGACCTTTCTGACACTCATCACTCGTAATGCTTACAGGCAAAGCTCTTGATCCTCCCTTTAGTAGACACAAGGCCTTCCCTTACTTTTGATATCCGTGTATCGCTACTGACCTCTTCTTAGTAAACTTATGTCAGTGTTGTTTTTAGTCCTCGTCTTTATCTCTTGTCTTGTTCTTGTAATTCTCAGCCTCTCTCCTCTCTTTCCTTTCTATCTGCACACACACACATCTCTCTGTTATTCCCAACTGAACCACTTTCTCTTGATTCCTATTTTACTCTTTCAGTGTTTTCACGATCCTCCTCTCCTCATTCTCGCCCTTCCCTTTATATCTGTAACTACATCTCATGACCGAGCTTAGAGCCGCCTGTAGTTTAACTCGACTAACCGCTTTCCCTACCATGTGTCCCCTTTGGTAGACCCCGTCCCCTTACCCTACAGTTCTACTACTATAAAGTCTGGTTGGTCCAAAACAAAAAAAACAGAAAGAACCTCAATCATCTCTTTTTGATCTTCTCTATTATTTTTTTCTTCTTCCAGGGAATGCCACAACTCTAATCCTCTCTAACTTTGACAACCCCCTTAAGACACTGCACCTGTTTGGCATTGAGAGAGATCTTGACTTGAAATGAAATACCACCATCGCTATCCAATTTGACTTTGATTTAAGGGAACCATGAATGTAAAAGCGTAGAGAGCAAAATGATTAGAAATGAATCTGTAAATCAGTAGGATCAATCCAAGTTGGATTGAGGATACTCTCTTTGTGCGGATGCACGGCTACTTGTACTGTGATAGTGGGTTTTGAGGGAAGTCGGGGGGGAGGGGGAGGGGAGGGTTTGAGGGCTGGGTAGGTGGGGAGAGTTTGGGCTTAGATAATGGGAGTGAAGTAAAGGCATGTTGCATGCTTTGTGTGTCCAGGGTTTGTGGGATTTTTTTTCCAGGAGGGTGTTGTGTCGCATGCGATCGTCACACTCTCTGTCGCATGGCTATGGGCGACACTGAGCCCGCCTGCTGCACGCCGAGCGCTGTGGATGTTGGCCGATGCCCACCAGCCTGCCGCAACACTTGGCTTTGGGCATGCCTGACACTCGCACACACTCAGGAACACACGAGCATGCATACAACCCCACCATCGCCATCGTACTGCCGTGCTTGCCAATCGTGAGTGCCCAACGCTCATGTTCGTAGGTAAATCCAATGGACGCCAACTGGTCGGATAGGAACGGCAAGCGGCCCCAGTTGGGCCCAGCTTGTTTTGTTCTATCCGCAGGTTTCTCCATTGGTTTTACCTGGTACAGTATACTTTGTAAAAGACAGGGAACCTCCTTACAGGTAGGGGGAGCTCTATAGCAGATGCCTCAGTTAAATATAACTACAGCAGTCTCCTGAAAAATAGCAGAATTACACCAGTGATACTGTTATTGTTCTCCAGTCGACCTATTTTGTCTTCAAAGGACTGCAATTAAGCGCCCTTAATTGCAGTCTGTGAAAATAGTTGTGTGTAAGTGGGCAGGGAGGGATTAGGGTTGGGTGGTGGGGGGGCGGGGTTATGGGGGTTTGGTGTATGTGTACTGTTTAATATTTATATCTACATGTGTGTAACAACAGAGATGTGTAAATGCGGCAATGCATTCACACATTTGGGGAACATGGGCACAGGTTGGGTCGGAGGCCATTCTGGCTCCGATTGTTCTTCCTTGTGGTTCTCGGCTGTCACAGTTGCTTAGCAGCAGATGGCCTCCGTTGGATAGCTGTGCTGTTTCGTAGAGTATCGCTGGAAACACAGGAGATGTAAGTTTCTTTCTTCAAGCAAATGCATGCACTAATGAAGTTACCAAAACTGTGCGGCAGACTTTAACACACGAATGCTCAACCGTCACTTCATGTAGGACGAATTTGTCAGAGGACTTTTAGAACTCAAGTGCCTCAAGTTGAAATTTACTGACTTGACTTTTTAAGCATTGATCGGAATCATATCTGACAGAATCAAAGTGACACTCAGTCATCCTTTCCTCGACTCTAATCTGTTCAAGTGAACATTAAATGAAACCAATCCACCATTGGCTGTTGTCTATGGAGCTCTCTCAACCCCTGGCCCCCCAGCCCCTCACCCCTTCCCCTTCCTGGAGGTTCAGGCACAGCACACTTTAGCGAGGACACGTCCCTTTCTCATCCTCTCATCCCGACTGGCTCTCCACAGAGGCTGCTGCGCATGGATCTGCCGGTTGCAGATGACAACTCGGTGCATTTTAACTCCACCCTCATGGCTCTGATCAGGACAGCACTGGATATAAAGATTGCCAAGGGTACGGCCCTCAAGTACTCTCTACCCTTTACTCTACCTGTTGCTTTCTTGTCTGTCACTCTTGGGTATTCCTGGGTATGACTTTATCACCTCTCAATTTCTGTCTGTCTCTCCACAACAAGAATGATCTAGATTATTGTATCAAATATAACAAAACTCTAACAAATAACCTTTTTGTTTTGGGTGAATGTGTGCACGCGTGAATGGATAAATACATTTTATTTGGGGATTTTGTGCCATCGTGCCTTCCTTTTGGTCTGTACCGTCTTGCCCTGTGTTTGTGTGGGGGGGGGGTGTTTGCATATGTATGGATGTATGCATGCGTGCTGTCTGTGTGTTCAAATGATGTGCGTGCGTGTGTGTGTGTGTGGGCACTCTGGTTTTGCGGGGGCCACTCAGGCGGTGCAGACAAGCACCAGATGGATGCGGAGCTGAGAAAGGAGATGATGGCTATTTGGCCGAACTTATCCCAGAAGACACTGGACTTGCTGGTTACGCCGCACAAGGGTAAGTTGCAGACTTATGGCGCATAGTGGTGTGTGTGTGTGTGTGTGTGTGTGTGTGTGTGTGTGTGTGTGTCTCCGATCACCAACTCACCAAGAGGACAGCTTCTACCAGCCAGTGTCATCCACTGCTTCGCATCTCCTGATCAGGCCACTACAGCATAAACACACATACTGAACATACATATAAATAGATGTATACGCCCGCGTAATTTCTGTGTATCCAGACGTCTCCGACACTGTGGTCCAGAGGAAATATCTCCGGCCGGATTGCCATGACATTGGGTATCAAGATTCATTGCTCGCAGGATATTTATAATAAACGTTGGTGTCTCATGTAGCATCGCTATTGGGTGACTTGTGGCACAGGTAGAGCCACAAGTCAGTCTCTAAACGCTTCGCTCAACTAGAGACCCTTGTTTTGTTACTAAAACTTGGTGAATACAATTATAGTTTTAATAAAACCTGTATAGCAGAACCAATCCAAAGTCTTTATGGTGGCTCCTTATATTGGGGGCGGGGACATACAATGTCGTAGCAGAAACACGTGCACGGAACTGTTGTTGCTACAGCGGCTCTGCTAGCATGCTAACAAACACACTCAGGCATCTCACTCGCTGTTCAAAGTTTAAAAGAATAAGAATAATCTGGGAGCTCTCCTTTTGCCGGTAAATGGCTCCAGAATGTGACTCGCGGTCACACGTTTCACTCCTCCAGAATCTCTGGCCGCCTCCCGGCTCTCTCCAAAGGAGCCGCGTCCTAGACGGGGCCGATCCCACGTGGTACCCCCTTTACCTCCCAATGCATGAAGATAGCTTCCCTCGTCTCCCACAGCGTCGCTCGCCACACGGTTGGAGGCTGGGCTCTTCATCCTTTTACTTCGCTAACACTGAGCTTCATGTCGGTTTCAGTTCATTTAGGCTTTCAAATAGACACAGACGGACGACAAACCGACACATAGATCACATCAGAGTGAACACGGTAGCGCACACACCTTCACTGATCTCTCCACCCATTCAGAAAGGCCTGGTATCAGGGGGTGCCTGCTATAGAAGATCCTCTATAGAAGTCTTTTCACTACAGGAAGAATTAAACAACAACTGAACTAGTAAAACAGATCTAGGCTAATAGGTTTATTCAAAATGATTGTGATGAATGACCTTTTTCAGTGCTAGTGAAATGCTAGTGAAATGATGCATGTTTAGCAAAAGCACCAAGTTGTTTGGCTAAATGCATGGCAGCTAATGAGGTGTATTACACACATAGGTATGAGATATGTGTGGCCATATATTATCACACGTTTCTACACGTTTTAATGCTGTACGACTTGTAGCCATGCCACTTTGAAAAGGACACCACTCCTTCAGTTACCTACGCGGTTCGGTTATTGGACAACCAAAACAAAGCTCAATATTTTTCTGATTTTAAATGTTCTGTGTGTTCCATCCAAACTCTGGGGATACATGTCCGGAGTTTTTAGAAAAACATTGAGCTCCTGTTTCCCAGGGATAGTTTGACTGAGGCGTCCACGTGTTTCCTAGTGAGGTGGCTACCAGGTCCTCAGCCTTAATGTTGAGGTTAAACAAACTCACGGTTTGACACGGTTAGGTGACAGTGAAGTAATACGAGAATGCTAAATGGTATAGTATAGGAAACGCATCTGCCTGTGAAAAGACTATTGGCTTTGTTGTGTTAATAATTGTACAGTGTTGTAATATTTTATTTCTTGGTTGTACACCACAGAGTGAGCTCAGTTCTGTTTCAGTTGAAGCTTCACAGGGAACGTTTAGACAGTGGTTACCAATGTTGCTTGAAGACAACAAAAGACCATTTTTACTTTCTGTTACGATGAGTATTTTCCTCCTTTTATTTTGAATGCTTCATCTCAGCCACAAAATTTGTCAACTTGGCATATTTTCCTGGGGGTAAAATGTAAATCTACATTCTGCACTTGCAGTGCTCAGAAGTACATCATCAGCAAACAAACAGACCCTCCTAACTTGCCTTTTTATGCATATAGCTGTACATAATATCATTACATTAAATGATTTCAAGCCCTGTGTTGGAAAGATTTACTAGCCAATGAGAATGAGGTTTTGTGAACCCAAAGGATGCATGCACGCATGAAAGTTAAGTATCTTTGCATGCATATTATAATGCATATTTAAAAGCACATGTTTGTCCCTCTCTGTGAGCGTTTTTATGCTCCTCCAACACAGTGTTTGTTGCTTACAATTATTGGTTACCACTGACCAAATACTCTTAGATGATGGAATTATCCGAAATTCGAGAACCAAACATTTAGATTAAACTTTCTAGGAGTTGACGTGAAACAGAATTGTCCCAGCTGCTGTGTGTATTCTGCATCTTGTCAGTGATTTGCATTTTTTAATCTTTTTGTCTCATGCCCCACTCCCATCCCCCCCAACGGCTCAGGGTCCCATCTCACTCGGGTCTAATCTTGCAGGGTAACTTGTCATTTTCTCAGCAGCCACAGACTTGACGGTGGGCAAAATCTACGCTGCCATGATGATCATGGAATACTACCGGCAGAGCAAGACGAAAAAGCTGCAGGCGCTGCGAGAGGAACAGGTAGACTCCCTCCCAGAGAAATTCACAGAACGCAAAAAGACACCTTTATTCCTTTTTTACTCTTCCGCCTCCTCCCAGCCCTCTTCTTGTTTGATACCGCCTCCACTAGCCCTTGGACTGAATTTTGCCTTTCTTCTGCCAAATATAGATTTAAACGCACAAGAACCATGTCTTGTACATTTAAATCCAACGTAAGCTCACGGCTACACTTCCAAACAAACCCTCACTTCCTCAGGTTTTCTTGTCTTCACGTGTTCACCCAAACCCGACCTCCCTCTCAGCCTGTGCTGTACCTTTTGTTAGCATGCTACTTTAAAACAAAATCTGCGTCCTTTTTTTTCCAGCACCTTGTCGCTCTCTTGGCCAGCCTTTTGTCACGCTTGCAAACAGAGGGTGTTTGACTTTCTCGAGCTAGTTAGCGACCTTTTCGGCTGCTTTTTGGTTTTCTTTTCACCGCGGGCTGTTTGCACCTGGCGAGGAGGATTAAGGTGTTGCAAAGGTTTACCGATTTACAAATATGTTTTTGTTGTTGTTGGTAATGTTCTGAGCATTGATGATGACACCACATGGCCTTACCTTCTTGTTCCCTGTCAGTGCTCTTCCCTCTCTTGTCAATGAATGCCTTTGAGATGCACTCGCTCTCTGTCTCTGTATTTTTTGGATCCACACTGCGGACGTGTGGGGAAACATCTCTCCACTCATAATACCTCCTGTTCGCTCCTGCTGTTTCAGCGCTTGATCCCAAATTTGACGTGAAACAACAAAATCCAAATTTTGCTCTTGACTAAGATAACGGTATTTCCATTTTGCCGAACGAAGGAGTGCACCGGTGGATGGAGAGTATGTTCGTCTTATTTTACAGTGTGAATACAGTATGTGTTGGTATGTTCTTGAATGCAGCCATCCCATTGGACTGAATGGACAGGTCCACACAGGCTCTCTCAACATCAGCAGAACATAAGGGCTTTAACCAGTCTGTGTGTCTGTCAGTTTGTCCCGCCATCTGTATCTCGTACCTCGATGGGCTTGACTTGTCAAGCTCTCCCTATTTGGTCAATCCAGGTCGATTGTCACCAAGTTGCTCTAACCAAGACCCATTCTCTCCAGTCTGTGTGTTCATGAGTCTGTCTGTCTGCCTGCCTGTCTGTCTGCCGTGGTGGTGGTTAGTGGGATGTTGAGTGGAGGTTCCTGTGACCAGTATGTAATCACTTTGGGGCCATTCATTTATACACATGCCGCTTCTGAAACACACTCCATCGAAGCCGGTGTCTGCGTTCGGTGTTTGGCGTTCATGTTTTTTCGTTATAATCCATCTAAATATTATGTGCCGTAAAATTTCTTCAAGCCAGTGCCAAACCAGACTGTCGAGAGACAAACATGAGCCATTTCCCTTTGTGGCACAGGAAACGACCACTGGACAGGATTAGACACACAAATAAATAAAAATGCAGCATTTTTTTAAAGCTGCTCCTCAGATTGTTTCTGTTAAAGAGGAGGAAATAGAAGGATTTCGGTTGACATTAAATACCCTCTAACAACCATATTGTAGGACTAAAACACCTTGAGGGCCAAAGTCAACAGTTGAATTGATATTTCTTACACTCACAACAGCCACCAAATTGTTTTCATGCTTAGATAAAGTTGGCCAAAACTTAGATGTTGCGGAAAAAGCAGTATAAATCAGCTTTCTGTGTGGTTGTTTTCTTCTATACTTGTATGTATTTGGGATTTAACGCGATACGTGTCTTTAAAGCTGCATTCTCTCTAATGACCACCAGGGGGCGACTCCTCTGGTTGTATAGAAGTCTATGAGAAAATGACTCTACTTCTCTCTTGATTTATTACCTCAGTAAACATGAGTTTATGGTCTCAATCTCTAGTTTCAAGTCTTCTTCA